TGAATGATCTTGATGTTGCACTATGCAAACAATATCCTTCCTTCTGCAGTTGTGCTGCCTGTTAGCCATTCCAGGCTGTTACTATTTCACAGCCCTGAAGACTGGTTTTAGCTCTAGCAAAAAACCTTAACTCAGGTGTAGTAATATTAACTGAGATGTCGGAATGATTGGCAGTTAAGCACTAAAGGCACTGTCAAGACTCTCAAGGCTAGCTTTTGTTCTATAAACCTGAATGAGGCATACATTTACCTATGATGATCACATCACTAATCACACAATATCTTTTGACTATTTAGACTATTTTTGCTTAGTTTGTAGCATGTTAATCTAGCAAGTTAGTACACACTGTGATAGTTGTATTTGTTTTTGCTTTGATCTGAAACTGAATATAGAGCTAGCACCTTAGCCTATTACTGATGTGTCTAGTTTGTTTCTCTAGAACTGGAGAAAAATAGTTGCATATACCACACTATCTACACCTCCCTTTTCAAAATCTTAGATCCACCCATGCCTACAGGTAGCCCAGTATGCCCCACAGAACAAGTCTGTGGACATCTCTGGACTAGAGCATTTGTAAGCGTCCTACTTGTAAAACTGTTCTTGCTGCTCTACACCATTAATTTTATAAAACAAACTTCTATCTATGGGTATGAAGAGAGGTAAGAATTACATCTGCCTACTTCTGTAGGCATGCATTTCATTCAGGGCCAAAGTTATAACAAACAGTACAACAAATTTGTACGGCTACAGGAACATACTTAAATATAACAGCAGATGAAAGTTTGTGAGCAGGTACGTTTGTCCACAGCCTATATGGGAACCTACAGACTGCTATCTCCAACTATGGCAGGTTTCTTCACTATCCAAAATAGTTGCAGATGCACAATATATGTTTATAATTGTATTCAAAGTTTTCTTTATTTGGTTTTGTTAAATTAACAGTAATTCTTCTTTAAACATTTGTTCAAGAAGTAAAGGTACAGCTGTGGCTGGTATGTTTTTTTTAATATGTAAAACTTATTTATTTGCCATTTCTAGGGAGTATTCAGCTCTAACCTGTTGGGGGGGGAGGTTTGAATAGTGTATTTTTTGTGTATGAAAACCAATTCCTCAGGAAACCTAATGAATTACATCTCTTAAAAAAAAATTAAATAGGAACTTTCTCTATTTACAACTAAGGCTGTCGTTTTGTATGTTTGCTGTTCTTTTGGAGTAGGTTTGAGACAACTTAATAATTAGGAAATACTTCAGTGTGACCTTTTTGGCTTACTTTAATTAAATGTTGACTAACTTTATCCTTTTTCCTAATTCATTGGCATTGAGTATTATGACTTATTAAAATGTATTAAAATGAACATAATCTAAACTAGGGGTATCAAACTCATCTGTGCTACTACTGGATAAGGGGCATGTGGCTGGTCCAGAGAATGGATTAGGCCCACAGACCGGCTCTGCATGCCAGGGCCAGTACTGGCACGGTCACTGCCTGCCGTGTGTACCCTGGACTGACCCCATATGGTGCATGCAATATGTAGTGGCCCAGCTCCAAGAGCTGCTTTAATTAAATCACAGCCATGTCTGCTGTACGAGCACCCCCATGCTTAAAAAAGTGGCAGGGGTGCCTGAACTGATGCTTGTTCGATGAGTTTTAGCTCAAGCACCCCCACTACCATTTTTAAGCATGGGGATGCTGATGCATGAGACTCGGGAGGCTGCTGGAACACAGCAACTGTCATGCTCCAGATCGAACCTGTACCAATGCGTTAGAATTCCAGCATATCGGAGCAGTCTCTACATTCATATATAGGTACCCATTCTTTCTAAGGTTATATCTGGTCATAATTTTGTTTAGTCTAAAAGTGAAAGCAACAAGATCATTAGAACCTACAAAGACTGCTCCAATTCTTGACAAATGCTATTGAAAAGTTGTATGCTACCTTTTGAGTTAACAACTGTAGTCATCTACTGGCTAGTCTAGAACTTCAAACATGTACTCTAAAATAACAACATGGCTTGTAACATTCCAAATAAAAGCATGCCATAAGCAATGTTGTGTTGCTCTTGCTGGTCTTTAGACAATCTAATCTAAAAAAAAGGAAATAATACCTACCACAGACTCAGATCTTAGTTACAGTGTAAGAGTCCCAAACAAATGGCATTAGCCAGTACTGCATGGTAGCCAAATCCTCATTTCCTGAAACTGTCATTTTTGCTTCACAGTGCAAAGGAGCCCCTTGATTTTCTGATGAATAATAATCTTACCTGTGAAGGGGCACAGTACAAAGTATGCAAATCCTCTATATAAAGTACTCAAATTTTGCCTTATCCCTGTACAGCTAAAACCCACCGATAAAATAGCAGCAATGAATGCCATGCAGAATTCACTGCCAGAAGTCAATCATGTTCACTAACCATAGTATTGGTTTTCAAGGCCTCTCTATAGTCGTATCTAATTTTACTTTTCAAAAACTG